CGCTGGCTGCTCCGCTCGCCCTTCGACCGCAACGTGCCCGTCCAGCTGGAGCTACAGGAGCTGCTCCTTGACCACGTCTTCCAGCGCCTCGGCGTCGCCTCGCAGGTACCGCCGGGGCGAGGGCCGGAAGCCGCTGGTGAAACCAGGCCCGGCGCTGGGCGGGGGAGGTTGTGCCTGGGGGGAGTGAGGGGTCCGGCATCGCCCCGGTTGTCCAAGGACGTTGTGTTGTCCCCTCCTGACAGATACCGGTGGCCCGGTGGACGGGCCCTGAGCAGCCAGGCCAGGCGCTCCCCAGAGGTGTCTTTTGAACCCCGCTATTCTCTTAATTTCTTCATGGATTTGTGGTAAAACGAAAGCGGGAGGATACAGCTGCAGGGCGAGAGATTTGGACTGCAGCGTCGTGTCAGGCTGTGGCACAGAACCAGTGTCCAGAATCAGTTTTTGAGAAGGACGTGAAACATTACTAGTTTTGTATCGTGCCCTTAGTAATAGTGCTCACTGACTAGCTGTTTTGTATACCCAACTGAGAGTTGCTCCTCGGACCACAAAGCCTTTTGCCTGTGGGACAGCACCAGTTCAAAACCTTTACCTAGTGCTGAACTAAACTTCCACCAGTTTTCACTTGCACTTCACCTCCTCATTGCATAGATTTTGGTTACTTAGATTCTAAATAACTCGTATATGCCTTTAAAAATCAATTCTTCTCCACCCTTAGGAGTTTATTTTTTGGTTGAATTAACATTGGAAGCCCTGTTGTAGACAAGACTTCATTTTTACTCCCTTAAGCACTAGATATAATTTAACTTACATGATTAATAGTCTGCACATAAGGTGCTTTCTCATCGCTGTTTTGGGGGAGTTCTTGCTGATGTTCAAAAGAAGCAGCAAGGGTAAGTATCCCTGGATTTTCCCTTCCTACCTTTATTGTTTTTCTTTTCTTTTGTCTCTTACAGGGTTGCGTTGATCATCCAATTGTTTTGACAGAAGCGGTGTGCAATCCTCTGTATTCGAGGCAAATGATGTCAGAGCTCCTCTTCGAATGTTATCAAGTGCCAAAAGTGTCCTATGGCGTGGACAGCTTGTACAGTTTTTACCACAACAGAAGGCAGAACTGGCCCTGCAGTGGTTTGATAATATCTTCAGGTTATCAGTGTACACACGTTTTGCCAGTCTTAGAAGGCAGGTAAGTTCCTGGTGTCTCATTGACAAGGTGATTGACTTTTCAGTGATGCAACTACCCATTCCTCTAGCAGTCAGTATTCCAGCTCCTGCAGTAGGTCTGCATATTTCACTAAGTTCTGTTGAGTTTTGAATTGCAGAAGCAGTATGTATTGCATTTCTAGTTACTATTCATGCATAAATCTGTACTTTCAAAAGTAGAAGGGGATATCTGCCCCAAGTAAGATCAAGCATTAAAAAACATATGTTAGGTTTTAAAGCAGCTTTGGGACAAAAGAAAGTGCTCTGTGAGATTTCTGCAGTTCTTGAGGCTTTTAGCATTCTGATTATGCTGCTGCATTGCTCTACTTTTCTTTTTGTAATCCTTACTGCAGGAAATGGCATTACTATGTCTGGTAGATGCTTTAAATTTCTGAGGAAAAAAATTGGCCAGTTACACCTGGCCAACTGTGGAATGTTACAAAGGTTAAAGGAACTACTTTTAGCTCTGCTAGCCATCGCTTCCTTTCTTAAAATAGAACATTTCCTTGCTGTAGCCAAAATTATTTAATGTTTCATATTTTAAAGCAGAACAGAGCCTTTCAGAAAGTATCTGCAGTAAATAAGGCAGTGATTATACTTGTTGTCTGAAAAAAGCAGGTGTGTTAGATTCTCTGGTAACTGAATCTTGAAGTATTTACATCTAGTTGACCATATCAGATATTAATTAATACTGGGGAAAGTAGGAGGTCTGTTTTACACTGAACTTGTTGCTCTCTCCAGTCTCAGTTGTGGTTCTTTGCGTTTTCAGGTTGGATGCCAAAAATTGCAAACGTATTAATCTTGGAGGGTGTCAAGCAGCTGTGTATCTCCAACGCCTCCTTCAGCTGAAATACCCAGGACATTTTGCTGCCATCACTCTCAGTCGCATGGAGGAAATACTGCATGAGCATAGCTACATTGCAGAGGACTATATAGAAGGTAAAACCACCTGTAATTTTCCATTAGATAGTGTTCATCCAAATTTAAGTTTTGTCCTCTATATCCCTTTGTGGTGAGTTGACCCTGGCTGGACTCCCGATGCCCACCAAAGCTGCTCTGTCACTCCCCTCTGCAGCTGGGTAGGGGAGAGAAAATATAATGAAAGACTCGTGGGTCGAGATAAGGAGAGGGAGAGATCACTTGCCAATTACCGTCACAGGCTCGACTTGGGGAAATTAGTTTAGTTTATTACTGATCAAATCAGAGTAGAATAATGAGAAATAAAGCCAAATCTTAAAACACCTTCCCCCCACCCCTCCCTTTTTCCTGGGCTCAACTTCACTCCCGATTTCTCTTCCTCCTCCCCGCAAGCAGCACAGGGGGATGGGGAATGGGGATTGTGGTCAGTTCATCACACGTTCTCTCTGCCACTCCTTCCTCCTCAGGGGAGGACTCCTCACACCGTTCCCTGCTCCAGCGTGGGATTCTTCCCACAGGAGACAGTCCTCCACCAACTTCTCCAACCTGAGTCCTTCCCACAGGCTGTGGTTCTTCATGAACTGCTCCAGCCTGGATCCCCCCATGGGTGCCGTCCTTCAGGAACAGGCTGGTCCAGCCTGGCCCCCGTGGGGTCCCAGGTCCTGCCAGCAACCGCCCCCAGCCAGGGCTTCTCTCTCTCCCCACCGGGGCCACAGGCCCTGCCAGGAGCCGGCTCCAGCGCGGGCTGCCCACGGGGTCACGGCCTCCTTCGGGCATCCCCCTGCTCCAGCCTCGGGCCCTCCCTGGGTGCAGGTGGGAGATCTGCTCCCCCGTGGAGCTCCATGGCCGCAGGGGCACAGCCGGCCTCCCCGTGGGCTTCCCCTGGGGCTGCTGGGGACCCTCTGCTCCAGTGCCTGGAGCACCTCCTCCCCCTCCTTCTGCTCTGACCTTGGTGTCTGCAGGGTTGTTGCTCTCACATGTTCTCACTCCTCTCCTTGGCTACAATTGTGTGTTTTTGGGTTTTTTTCCCCCTTCTTAACTCTGCTCCCCCAGAGGTGCTACCACCGTCACTGATGGGCTCGGCCTTGGCCAGCGATGGGTTTGTCTTGGAGCCGGCTGGCACTGGCTCTGTTGGACATAGGGGAAGCTTCTAGCAGCTTCTTACAGAAGCCACCCCTCTAGCCCCTCCACTACCAAAACTTTGTCAAGCAAACCTGATACACCCTTGTTCTCAAGTTGGCTGGGATTCTGGCAGAAATGCTCTACTACTATTTTGCTTCCTTTATAGATGTCTTTCTGGTAATCTACCTCATGGGAAATGCTTGACAACAGTTTCAAATTTAAGATAGAAATGAAATTCAATTACAAAAAAAAAAAACCCCGAAACTGTATTAGTTCAAGTTTCTCTGTGAATAAGAATTAGAATTATTTCAAAGGAAAAGAATTTAAAATTAGATTATTTTATTAGTTACTTTATACTTCCAACAAAACATTAAATTGGTTAGGGTGATTTCTGCACCTGGCCATGTTTCTTATCTGCTTTAAGGTTTCCAAAGTTGCAGAGCACACTTCTCATGACTTTTTGTGAATTAAAGAAGTTTTAATATTTCCATAGTAAGTGTCATCTTAAGTAATGGCTGAAGAAAAGTATTTTCTTAAATTTATCACTTACGAAAGAGCCTACAGGAGTCCTTAGAAATGTGTGAGAACTCTCCCTTACCTTGGGAAGAGAGAAGAGACATTAGTGTGCTTTTCCTACTTCTTAGTACTTTGTGTTCCCTGCATGCTGGAGATCAGAGCACTAAGAACCATGTGCACAGGGGGTAGCTAAATATGGGGGCATCAGCCAAGGGGTGACAATCCTAGGCTGGACCGTTGTTGCCGCCTTTCTTCTAACTCTGAACTTAGTGTGGAGTGTGTACAACATACAAATCATTGTTTTCAGCCTGGCAAAACAGTTATTTTGCTTTCAAAACATTCAGAACTACAGAAGTGGCGGTCCCCAGAGTACTATGAGAACAACATGCACAAGATGCAGCTGCCTTTCTCTAACAAACTGCTGGGAAGCACTCTGACATCAGAGGAAAAGCAGGAGAGGCGGCAGCAGCAATTACGTCGACTTCAAGAGCTCAATGCACGTCGTCGGGAAGAGAAGCTGCAACTTGACCAAGAGAGACTGGACAGGTTACTATATGTACAGGTAATCAAGGCAAAGTTTTCTGTGTGATCCTTTTAGAGGAAGGCAGGCTGTCTTCCGAGCTTTATCACAGGGTCATGCATCACTGTAAAGAAGCTACAATTGTCCTGTGTGTTTTCTGATAGGAGCTTTTTAAAATTACTTGCAAGATAAAAGGGAAAGATTTCTGATGCAGAGGATGCTTCTGGGTTCTGAACAGTATGACTTTTGGGAAATATTTTGAATGTGCTGAAGCTTGCACATCATGACATCTAGTAATGAAAGCAAACTGTCTGTACATGTACAGTTGAGAGATGGTTGATTGGCCTGTATTGTTCATCACAGCTAATTCTGATCTGTCTGTAGGAACTTTTAGAAGATGGTCAAATGGATCAATTCCACAAAGCTTTGGTGGAGCTGAACATGGACTCTGCAGAAGAGCTTCAGTCTTACATCAACAAATTGAGTCTGTCTGTTGAACAAACGAAGCAGAAAATCCTACAGGCAGAAGTCAATATCGAAGTAGATGTTGTGGACAGCAAGCCAGAGGTATAATGTTTTCACCAAGTTAATCTTCTTTTCTCGGAAAGAATTAAGTGTCTGTGCTTGAAAATGTGGCCCTTCAGACTAAGCTTTTCTGAGCTAAGCTTTTCCTTTAACACACTGCAACTCATTGCTAATTTGGTAACTGCTTCTCTTTTTTCCCAGCTTTCCTATGCAGCTACAAAAAGTGACAGTTTTGATTTTTATAGAGCATGCCTGGAATCAGGAACCCTTCTGGTGCTGTTCTGCACTGTGCTGTGGCATATATCTTATAGTTTGATTCCATATAGTTCTGAGCATAATCACTAGACTTCCTGACAGTAGTTGAAGTATACTGTTATATGAAATCAGTAAGTTTCCTTAAAAGTTTCTTGCACATCTTTAAGAAGTTGGAGAAAAAGAAAATACCCCTACTGGGTCAGAGGAGGTTCCACTGAAGATACTACTGCTTCCCTTCGTACTTACTCCTGGCAGCATATGCCAGCCACTGTCCTTACTTAAGGTTGACTTGCTTAGAGCGTTGTAAATGCAGTAGCTAACATAATGATTTTGTTGATACCTTAAACCAACCTCTGACTCTGCTTTTGCATTAATTTTGGTGAAATAAATGGGCCTGGTATATTAAATAAATTTGTTTTTCAGTGTCTGACAATTAAACAACATGGAGTTTTAAGTTCTTAAATCTCAAGTGGTTATAATCTGAAGACAAGCATCCTTAAATTTCTCTAGCCTTGTATTAAAGATACACAAGAACCTATCAAGCTTTTTATTAACAACAGTGTTTGTTTGCCTTTCTGTTCTTCTCTTTCAGGTGCAGAGAACTTTACGGTAAAAAACTAACCCTTTGCCTTCATTTTGGCTATCTTTTTTGGTGGAATTAAGCAGCATATTGTATTCTGCTTATTTAACAATGAAAGATTAATTGCTACACTTGGTTGTTGGGAGTTATCTTGAAGATGAGGTGCTTGTTTGTCTACTTTGCTAGACTAATACAGGCCCAGCACGTAGCAGCTGCTTCTAAGAGATGGTCTAAGGCTGTTTGTTCATTGACTTGAAATTGCTTTTCAAGTCACATAAGATAGAGCTTTTTTAGTTATATCAGTCCTTGCTTAGGAAAAGGTAGAGAACAACAGAAAATTGAAGCATAGGGGAGAGTGGTGCCAGATATAGGGGTAATCATGCCTTTATATGGAATCTGAGATGTAACCAAAACCAGCAGGTGAGCTGGTATCTTCTTGGTTATATTTTGCTTATCCTCAACAGGAAAGTTTGTGTAAGAATCAGAATGACTGCGTTTGAGCAAAATTGAGCTAGATCAACCGTCGTGGTTTACCGTCGTGGTGAAGAAACTTCCCACGTTCTGTCAAAAGAAAATGTTCTAGAAAGAGATAATTGAAAGACTGCCAGCTCCTTGTGATATTGCCCAGTGGTTGTGTCTAAGTTCCAACATGTCTGGTTTGGATCTCATGCTCCTCCACTTTACTAGGTGTAATCTCAGACCTGGGAATAAACTGGCAAGCTTTTTTGTTTGGTCTGTGTGAGAGAGCCTACAGTTACCACCGAAACCGTTTGTGAAGATAGGTCATCTCTCTGTGGTCTTGTAGAGGAGACCAAAAGCTAATTATGTTGTCCTAGGGTCTGTGCCAACTCTTCAGCAGACTTCTGTGTTTCTTACTGTTGCTAGGTTTAAGACATAAAAAGAAATGGATTTTAAAAAGCCTAAGTGTTGGCGATAACTTCAGGTGATTACTGTTTGTTTGCTCTAACAATGAACAGTGTTTAAACTTCAGTTCAAGCTTTTCCTTGGTTTTTAAGTGGACTTAAGCTAGATACTTCAGAATGTTTAAATGATCTAGCTTTATCTCACCCTGCTGTTGCTTGCTAGACGTTGCAGCAAACGTTCCAAGTTTAAAATAACAAAAACAAATCTGCAGCCACAAAATCCTAAAGGTAATGTTGTAACACAAAAATAAAGGAGATAATTAAAAAGCTGCCGCTGCTTCGCAACAGTGAGTACTCTAGGATTTTGAGGGGTGCTTTTCATTAGGGGGGAGCTTTGGGAGCAACTTCAGATCTGTAAAATATAAGGGCTTTTTGTATATCCTGTGTGCAAATGCTAGGCGGTTGAAACTGTCAAAAACTGTGTGGCGGCTTTGTAGCTAGCAAACATTTGTTTTCCAGTCCCGTACAAGCAAGTCAGGGAGTTTAATGGTATTTTATAGAGCAGTTAGAGGTACTGAGAGCGCACCGAATTTTAACCAATTTAAAAAGCTATTTTAATAAGTTTTAGGATGGTGTTGTATTTAGGACATGGCTGGCTAGGATCCTGGCAGTCAGCCTGCTGACTAAGGCCTTTAATTTCTGAGGTGGCATCATGATAAATTTATTGATAAATGTTTTATTTTTATACTTTGAATGAATGTCTGTCTGAACTCCTGTTTTATAGGTTGATTTTTATCTTTTTTTGTCTTCAGTGCTGGAGAACAGCGTATTCAGTTTTAGGCACATTAAGGAGTTGAGATTTGAGAGAATTGAGGTTGAATTTTCCAAATGTGTCACCAGAATGGCAGTCATATACGTGCTTAGCTCACCTGAGCTAACCTACCTTAATATACCTTCTTTGTTTCCAGACTCCCGATTTGGATCCATTAGGCAGTGAACAGTCACTGGAGGATGTGGAAAGTATTAATGAGTTTGAACCTTTATTTGCTGAGGAACAGCCTGAAGCTGAGAAGCCTGTTGCTGCAGTACAGGTTTGATTTCTATATCTACACCTCATGCTAGAGGTTGCTGCCTCCTAGTTGTCCAGCTAGCCTGCTAACACTTCTCCAAATGCAAACATTGTTTGCATGCTCTTGGAAGAGATGCTTAAACTATCTGAACAGGACGTTAAGAGAAGAGAAGTCCTTGCAATTTTATCTGATGGTTTAGAGTGTGAATGTACCCACTTGGCTCACTCGGCAGGCAGTTGTAGCAGTGCTGTGTTACCTGGGGGGTTGGAGCAGGGGGGAAGGCCTGCTGAAGTTTTTCTGTGTGTGATCCGTAGCCCAATATCGCATCCCAATGGACAGAGCTTTCAATTTGTGAGGTTGAGCCTTAGGATTGAGTGGCACCAAACAGAAAAAAGTATAGGAAAATTCCAGCTTCTTTGTCCTTTTGGAACCTTTTAGAGCATTGCCCTTTCTCTGTGAGAGCATTACGATCTGGGTTTTGTACAGAATTGTTTGGAAACTTTTCTAATTCTAGAGTATTGCTATTCTTTAACATAATTTCCCACTACTCTTCAATCTTATCTTTTTAAAGCCCGTGTTTAACCTGGCAGAGTACCACCAGCTTTTCCTTGGCACTGAAAGAATCAGGGCTCCAGAGATTGTCTTTCAGCCCTCCCTGATAGGAGAAGACCAGGCTGGTATAGCAGAAACCATGCAATATGTCCTTGAGAGGTGAGTTTGCGAAGGCACTTACTTCAAATAAGCCAGTCTTGTTTTGATATCTGCTTTTGCAATACTGGTTACTTAACAATAATATGAGGAAATATGTTTGAATATTTTTTTTTTTTTTGGTAGGGTTGAGCATTGCAGGACAGACATGTCTTCCTATTCTGAAAACCATGTGTAACTCTTCTTGTCTTAAGTCAGTGGTCTCTAAACGTTTTTGATCGAGTACTTCATCAGTAAAAAATTTTTGAGCACACACCTCCAATAGTTGTATATTTATAAATTACATACAGGTACTACTGAACTAGGATTTTATGTACATTTTAAAACACACACGATAGAAATTAAAAACAGATGAGATAAAAGTGAAATAAACACTATTTTGATTTACTTATTTATTAATGGTACAAAAAATACCTTCTTTCAGCACCCCAGTGGATTGTCTTACATGCACCCCGCTTTGGAGACCCCTGGTCCAAATTGTTATAGAGGGAAATAACAAACCCTTGTAAATGTTCATCCCTTGAAACAATGAGCTGTCAGTCTCTGGTTTTGCGAGACCAAAATTAGGGGTGACATTTTTAAGTTATGATGTGGGCATGTTTGCGGGACAACTATTTCCAGAGAACTTCATATTTGCAAAATGTCACCCCTGAACTCTATGAACATATCAGATTGCGTTTTCTGAAATGTAAGAATTGCAGCTCTACTGAGTTGTTGATTTGTGGGGTACAGTGCACAGAGTGCTTTAAGGATTTTCTTCTGCCACCCCCTGAATTTCTAGAAAACAAATGAACACAGATTTTCATGCTAGGGAAGCGAAGGAAGTTCCTCAGTGAATGCTGAAGACAAGGTATCACCCATAGCTGTTCAGTTCATAGGGAGAGAAGTCCTTGAGAAAGACTGAAGTTGGGTTTTTTGTTCCTTGTAGGTATTCCAAGGAGCAACAAGCTATTCTTGTCCAGAATGTTTTTCTTACTGGTGGAAATACAATGTACCCTGGACTGAAAGGCAGAGTCCAGAAGGAACTCCTCGAAATGAGGCCATTCCAGTCATCTTTTCAGGTACACGTATTCTCATAATGGTTACATGGACAGTCCGTTCTTCAGTGTTCGAAAGTAATTCTGGTTGGGAGTGGTACAGAGCAGGTGTACTGAGAGCATGGGAGTGGAGAGTGGTTTATGACAGGACACTGAAAACAGCTGTTGTGACCCGAGAAAATGAAGGTTAAGCAAAGATACTGTTGCTTTTTCTGAAGATGTTAGAGAGAGTAGGGTAGATGGCTTGGAAAAGGAAAACCTGCTTCAGCTAAAGGACCATGCACGCACAAGCATGTTTGGCTGGAAATTTGCAGACTGATTTCTTAGGATTGGGACAGGTACTACCTGGAACAAGCAGCCTTTGTTAGGAGCAGTTGCTGGAACATTGTGCTCACTTCAAAACTGAATTATGTGTTCAGTTTGTTACATGTAAGGACTGTCTGGGACAGCAGCAAAAGAGATTCAGTGAGTGTCTTACAAACCTGTGATCCCTTGCTACGTTTTCAGTAGCAAGCACAGTGCAAGCTGGGCAAGTCCCAGAGTTTGCTACGCATTTTGTAAAGAGACTTGCAAGACTCTTCCTTGCTGTTCTGAAACCACCTGATTTGATTTTCTCAAATCTACGAACTTCTTGAATAGAAAATCAGGTTGTAAACTGGGGAGAGAAAAAAAAACAGTGCAAATAAAATCTCGTGATTCCACAACCCTTTTTTTTTATAGTTCTTGTATGTAGCTGTGGTCAGGGTCTGACTGACAGAAACTTAGTTACAGCCATATACCTGGTAGTCTTAGGAAGGATGTTGCTTGCTAAGTTTTGAGTGTGTAACTTGTGTCTGTAGGAAGAAAATGAGCATGTGTTTTTCTGCTTTTACTGTCGCTGCTTGTAACTGAATAAGAGCTTCCTTCTCTCCATCATAATATGGTCTGTAGTGTGGTCCTATCAGAAATGAGTCACTTCACAGATACCACATGTGGGATTTACACAGTGCGCAGTCTAGCAAGCCCATAGCTGACCCAGGAAAGCAGTTCATGCTACAGTAGTAGGAATCATTTAAATGGAAGTATGAATCTACCCCAGTGGAAAGAGTACGTGTCCTTTCCCACATACAGTGATTTCTTGGCCTGCAGTATTCCTCCCTGGTACTTAAAGCAGGGAGGAAGTTTTGCTGGAGCACTTGATACTTGTTTTGCAGTACTGCCAACTCTTCCAGCATTGGCTTCCAGCTGTGAGGGCTGTTGGTTGTGAATGTGATGCACCCATGTGCTTTCTCAACCTCTAGAAACACAGCAGGCTCATGGAGAATTGATCTCAAGGTGAAAACACACTTTGAACCCATTCCTTAACATTACTCTTCCCCAGAGGCACTGAATAATCAGCTTGAGCTTCTGAAATGGTGGTTTGTGTCATATACTACTGTAGTCAGGGTACAAAGGGCTTTCCTCTCCTGTGTTGAATTGACATCGTTGTTCTGTTTTTCTTCCATCCAGGTTCACCTTGCTTCCAGTCCTGTTTTAGATGCCTGGTATGGGGCTAGGGATTGGGCAGTGGAATACATGACCCGTGAGGAAGGCTGGATAACCAGAAAAGACTATGAAGAAAAAGGGGGAGAATACCTCAAGGAACACTGTGCTTCAAATGTCTATGTTCCCATTCGCCTTCCAAAGCAGGCCCCACGGTCAACAGAGACGTTGGCACCTAGCAGAGTGCTGACATCCAGTGCGGGCAACCCTTGTGAGCAGGCATAGCACCGTATCTCCCACACCGCACCTTGGATGGAGGTAACAGTGCAGAGAAAAGAGTTACCGCATTGCAGTAGCAGCTCTGCATGGAGTACAGGCTTCAGCCTAGCCTTGCTAGCCGCTCAAGAGAGTGTGAAGCGTCTCATCCAGTCACTTGAATGAGGAGGACAAGCCATGCTGGAGCGTTGGCTGGAACGCTTGTAGCACTTGCAAGGCATAGTGCTGCCCATGCATAGCCCAGGAGTATGCATCAGCAAGGAGGATCACAACAGAAGTGCATTCCGAAGAAAAATACCAGCTCATAAACATTCCTAGTAAGACTCAGGGGTTTTTGAGAGTATATGTTTTACAGCTTTTTTTATTTATTTAATTAAAATGTACTGGTTTGATACTGCTTTTACTGCATGATCCAGAAGCTGGGCTTGTACCAAGCGAGGCAGTCCAGCAGGCGTCTCTCTCTCTTGTCGCAGCGGGCGTTTGTCGGGATGTGTTGGTCGGGTCGCATGGTGCTGCTGGATTCAGATCTGTGCCTTTCCTCCTGAGGCCTCCTGCACTCCTGTCCTGTTTGATTTCCTTCCTGCTACACACGTTCTGCTAAACCACCGCCAAATAAGCGGTGGGATTTCAGACACTTTTTGACTTCATTTATGTTAGTAATATCGATGTCTTGGTTGAAACTGGAAACCTGCTTGGATAGAGCACTGCCCAGCTATAAAGACAGAACCCTCCCTGCAGTGCAATCCAGAAGGACTGCCAAATCTGGTGCTGTCCTTAAGTGGTTTTACAAGAGTGGTGGCTGAGCAAGGCAGCTCTTGACTGGTGGGATTTTTCTATCAAAAGTTGTTTTAGGGATAAAGCAAGCTTTTTGCTTTACCACTAATTTATGTGTTTCGGTGATTTGACCTGCTGCATACCGTACTCCAGCTTAAGTTTGCCTGGGGATGTAGTTGTCACACTGAACAACTTGCTATTGCTTTCCCAAAAGAATAATCAATATTAAATGCTGAACTGAAACCTAAGCAGACTCCAGCACTTTGGAAGAAGCTGGAAAAGGTAATATGGGGGAAATGTCCAGACCATAACTGGTATAAAGAAGGTGAAGTGGTGGTGGCTTACTGTACTTAGCCCTTACTACAAGGGCTGCAGAGCATCAAGGTAAGTTGTCATGTGGCAGATTCAAAACAAAGGAGATGAGGTGCCTGTTGGTGTTGGAAGTTTGGTGGCCACAGGATGAGATACCCACATTTCTGGATTCAGAAAGTATTAGCCAGATCTATGATTTAAGAAAAGAAAAATCTGCTATTGAACACAGAGGTCTCACCTCTGTGTAGGTCTCACCTCTGCATAGGAGGTCCTGCAGTTGCGTATTCCTCGGTGAGCGTATGAGGGATGCGTTGGTTACAAACTCTCTTACACTGTTCCTGCAGCACCCAGCACTGGTCACTCTCCGGTGGAGTACAGGTCTTGGTGGACCTGTGGCATGGTCCTAGCAGGCTGTTGGGCAGGGGAGGAGGAGGAGGAGGAGAAGGGAGCTTGCCGCTTTCCGGTAACCTCAAACTTGGATTATTGATCCTATCCCTAGCTGCCTGGAGGCGTACTAATTTTCAGGACCATTAAGGTAATACTGTGGGTGGTAAAGAATGTGGAAAAACATGCTGTGCTGAAACTTGGCAAAGTTACACCTCAACGAAGTGGGGTGTTTGTATCGGCGACCTGGAGTAGAGTAATAAGATGTGCCATTGCTATTTGACCCCTTTCTGACGCATCTGTAGCTATTGTGGCAGAGCGGGTACTCAGATACAGAAATTTGTTCTGATACGTGTTGTTGGTTGCTAAATAGATAAGAGGGTGTTGTGCATAAAACTGTTCCAGAATGAAGGCCTAAAAGGGTATCTGTAGTGGATGGTTATATTACTTTTAAATGTTTGGTCAAACTGTGCCAACCACTTGCACTTACACTGATTCAAAGCAGAGATGTCTCATTCTGTACAGGCATGCCAGATCAGCTGCTTAAACAGCTTCGAGGAAGCATAATTTTATAATCTAAATATTGCTCTTCATTTGTTACTTTATCCCCACAATAGCTGAAGTAACTAATGAACTTGGACAACGTGGTCACAGTCACAGGCTGTTCTGAACACGCCCGTGGGCATTCAGTTGCTTGGAGTAGCACCATAAGAAGCGTGAACATTGCAAAATGGGATTAATTTTACCCATTTAAGTTCGGTTCCCCGATATGATTTGCTGTGGTGCTACGTGAGCATTGGTGCTGGCAGGAGAAAAACGGAAGGAGTGCGTGGTGCTGAGGGCAGGATGCAACGGCGTTGTTTTTGGCGGTAGTGTTGGTCAGACTCCTTGTGGAGCTCCACATTTGCGTCACTTGTGGCAGGGTTTTCTCATACCCATGTGCAGAATTTGGTTGTTTTCCATATAATTGGCACAGGGTTCACCAAACCCAGAAGGGGCTTGGACTATTTCTTCTGTGTGTTGGCTTATGACACCTGAGAGGGGAGCAGGCCAATACGGCACCTGCTTGGCTCCTCCTTAATGGGACTTCTTGTTGTGTGAGGAGCAGGAGGAGGCATTGCTACGACGAGAAAATTGTTCACTGAAAAAAAAGCATTCTGTGGACAGGAAACTTGAACTGATGCTGTGAGGGCTTTTGCCAAGCAATCGTAGGGCCGCTGTTGAGTGAGCTGCTATGCAAGCAGCCTTAAAATCTGTAGTGTGTTTATCCTGGTGGCTGTCCTGTGAGCTGACAAAGTGCAATTGCCAGTTCAGAGATGGTCAGGTGGTTCCCATTTGGTCCTCAGTACATTAAGTTAAAAGCAACCTGTAACCTTATTATACAATTCAGTTATCACCGAATTCAGGTCAAAGAATACAAAAGTACAAGCTGCAATTTAACAGGCATGGTGAGCTTGGTCTATTTAATCAAAAAGAGAGCTCAAACTGGGTTCCCCCTTTTGCAGGGTCCCTAAGACCTGCTCCAAGTGGAAACACCAGGTCAGTGAGAAGCCCCGGAGACTAAACATAGATCACATGTTTAATGTCCCAGATTTCCGTTTGAGCTGCATACGAGCCTTGCTTTTGGTCTTCAAGGCTTCTTACGTTTCCTGTGCCATAGCGGCTTCAAACACGAACCATTCTTTGCTAAATCTCTGCTAGGACACCAAGATTAGAACACTTTGCTCCAGTTACTAATCTCCAAAATACTTAATGTGCTGTGTAAGACAGCATTTCAGAAGAAAGAGAAGATGCCCATGAACTGTCACTTTTTTAAGGATTATCCCTCCAGAGACAGCCTGCAATGATCCTCTAGCAGCCAGTCATAAACCAGAAGTTTTGAAGCTTGTGTGGGATGAGCAGGGGAGGGGAGCATGCTGCAGTGGATTTAACATTATCCCCAAAGTCATATGGTGGGATTTCCACCCCGGTTCGATATGTCAGGCACAGAGCAGCTGTGCTGATTCCCATTGCTCACTCCCACTGTTTTGTGCAGATAGTGAGCCGGTCCCCAGCATCAGCTTCAACAGAACTTCTGGGTTTTAAATGGCAGCAGAGACCGTGGTGAGGGTACTGCACCGAGAGGAGACCTGCATCCATTTTTGTGTTTGTTTACTCACGACAGGCCGTGGCTGGTTGCTCTGCCCTCAGTTCTGTGCCTCAGCATCTATAACAGCAAAGCTAACCTGAGAATGGTGCTAGCACAGTGTCACAGAGTGCATAATTAATTTAGAAGACAGTAAGGGGGGTGGGAAGGCTGGAAAGGGGTTTGTGGGGAAGGCAAGGAAGTCAAGTAAAATCATGGAGAATGGGTCCATTTATGCCTAATGCACAGTGGGCCAAGCGGAAGGTCTTCAAACCACTCATTGCCTGAAGCTGGAAGAAGCGTATAGTATGGTAAGAATCACTCCGTGCAGGTATGCTTTTATTCTTAAGCAATTGCTATTGACCACTGTCAGAATATGAAGCAGGCTGGATTTACAGTCTGACTCGGAAGCTTTTATGCTCTTAAAAATCATGGTTTAGGCAGGACTGGGTTTTTTTTTTTTTAGCTTTTTATTTATTTCAGGACTGAGGCGAAGTATGAAGCAGCTTCTCCCTTCATCTGTCAGGAAATAAATGTGCTGTGCTGATGGGGAAGGCATCTTTTATGTTGCCAGTGAGATTCTGCGAAGGCGCCCAGGTTGCTGCACTTCCAGTAGCCATAGTCAGGCTGTTACATCAAGGGAAGCTCGGTGCACTGCTCGTGGCAGGTCTGGCTGGACAAATGAGCTTTACAACGTGCAAGGAAAGAGCGTGGCTTTATTCAAACCTCTGTCAAATAAATTCCAGAGGAGAGACACCTTTGGAAAGCATCTAAGCTCCTCATGTTTGAACTACTTGGGAACATGGTGGATGATGGAGTATTGGATCACGGTGCATTGGGTGACTCCCTTACTTAGATGAAGGGCAAGGGTGTGTGGTGGGTGGGAGAAGTCTTGAGGGGTGGTGGGAACCTGCAGCCCCAAAAGCCTTTTATCTGCTGGGGTGGCACATGGGGCTGCTGTGTAGGCACTTTCCTGAGTGCCCTGGTGCTTGGGAGGCCTGGGAGGTTGTTGGCTGCAGCTGAAGCTGATTTTTTTTTTTTCTCCTCTCACTCTGTTTCTGCACCTCTTCCTGAGGTATCCTCCACACTCCTAAACGGCTCCATATGCCCAGTGGGAAAACTGTCCCGTACGAGCACGGGAGGCTGGGGACTCACTGCCTTGTCTGAGGCTTGCTTGGAGGCAAGTTTGAGTTTGGATAGTCTTATCTTTCCACTAAACATTTTGATGTGGACATTTTGTTCTTCAGCGTGTTCTCACTTCTTCAAAGAAGAAGAGTAATAAGTAAGAAAAATTAGCCTGCCTCACTGACACTTGTTTCTGCATTTGAACAGCAGCCCAACTGTGATTCTATGACTTTCACAGGGGTCCTCCACACAATTTTAGAAATAACTTCAGTCACTGCTAGAATGACCAGAAGTCTCCTGGGGCACACGGGCCCCTGTTCCTGGGGGGTGACCTCCCCTGCCACCTCTCTCACCTTCCGCACCAGCTGCCTTCCAGCCTTTCGTCTGCTACGCTTA